TATACTTTGCTTCGTATATTTTATGTATGAATAGGACAATGTTCATATATTCCGTATAAAATGGCATTCGCATATAGTAAAATGCCCCTTGATCTTATTGAAACCTATACCATTTTTTTGTGCATAATTTGTGCGAATTTGTGCATGCATTTTTAGAATTTGTGCATAAATGGTTGATGAGTTATTCAGCTTTATATTTTGTGGTGAATTTCGGTTTTGGATGCAATTCAACATTTTTCTATGGGCAAAAAATCGGAAAAAATTTTGTGCCATTTTTTGTGCATAATTTGTGCATGCCAAATATGCCTTCGGATCGGTCGTACACTGCAAAAAATGCATCAAAATCGATTTGACGTCAATTTCCCCACACAAATTCACCACTTTTTTTTAAATAATTGGAAAAATAAAAAAATTTCTTTACCATTTTTTTGTGCATAATTTGTGCATAACAAATCCACATCGCACCAAATTTGTGCATGCAGGGGTAGTTCAGTAGTCGACTTGAGCAATATTCTCCAAAATCCAAGGGGCATTTTACTATATGCGAATGCCATTTTATACGGAATATATGAAAATTTTCCTATTCATACATGAAATATACGAAGCAAAGTATATTCATCCGCATCAACATCTATGAAAATTCGTACATTTCATTCGCAACCATTCGCGAATGCCGCATACGTCTTGCTAGATGCGACAAACTGTCGTGTGACATTTGTACATACACATTGCTGTGTTCAGTTTGTCGTGGAAGTTTCAAACACAATGTCATTGTTCTCAACTAAATTTGAAAAACAGTTGAAGAAAAAATACAAGATTATTTGTTGAATATTATTTTAGAAGCCGTATTCGATTCGAAAAGTGAGATTTTAGAAATAAATTCAGATAATATAAAAGAAATTGAAAGTTACGTCAATGAAAATAAAAACCTTTCACAAGGCACCGTTTACAGTGATAATATTACGAGTGGCAAAGATTTATTTACCATTTTAGAAAAATTTCACTCAATATTACCAAAAAAATATCAATTCGGCTTGAATCTCTGTCACCTAATCTGTCACTTTGACTTTTTGAATGTAAAAATATGACTTTTCATATGCGCCATCCGCAAAATGTGTATGAAACATTCGACACCGTCCGCAAATTTGTATGAAACATCCGCCACCATTCGCAAAATTTGTAAGAAACATTTGCGACCATTCGTTTACATTTGCAAAATATATAGGAAAAATTCGCTCGCATATGGATCATTCGTTTAAGTCGGAACCAACTCCTACTTACATTTGACTTTTTGACAAAAGCTCTACTACTGGCGCCATCTCTTTACACGAAGTCTAAGTAATAGATTTTTTTGTGTATTTCTCAAGTTTGAGATAAACCGCACATTGAATTGCGTTGAATTGTAATTTAATAAATTGTTCATTTTTTTTTTTTAAACATTTAAGTAATAAATAATTTTTAAAATGATATTGAATTTAAAATACAATAGAATAAAATAAAATAAACTAAAAACAAAGAGAGAAAAAACAGTGGAATGACAACAATCAATGTTGTCACTCACACGAACTTTTTTCTACACGAACAGTATTAGAATGACAAAAACCGAAATGAAGTGCACATGTATTTGAACAATATTGATCGCTCACATTGAGCGTCTCTACATACATACACAGTGCGCATAAGCGAACGAATCAACGTTAAGAATTTTGAACATGTGATTCAATGAGAGCAATGTTATTCGCAAAAATACATGGGCATTTCACTTTGGTTTATGTCATCGCATATACCGGCTGTCAACGATGAGCATGTAAACAAATTGTCATTTTGTATGATGCTATGTTTTGAGATTTCATATTAAATTAAATTTTTTTCATCAAAAAAATTGCTAAGTGTGCTCGATTAATTTTAAGTGAAATTTGCAATCAAATTTTAAATGCTACGAAATTTCAAGTCGAAAGAAATATTGCTCTACGCTGTGTGTATATTTTTATTTTATTTTTTTGTAATGAAGAGAAGACCGAATAAAAAGGCGTTTCATATGACGTAGATTGGCGGCAGTAAACCATAAATATGTATATAATAACTGTTGTGACTTCTATAATTCTTCTCTTTGATTTCGTTGACATTTTTTATTACCAGTTATTAAATTACAATTCAACGCAACTAAATATGTATGTGAATATGCGATTTCTCTCAAACTTAAGAAATACACAAAAACTTTTATTACTTCAACTTCGTGTAAAGAGATGGCGCCACGTTGAGCGGAGTTCGGCACAATAACACAGAAGCCCATATGACGCAAGTCAGGGTTGGTCGGAACCCCCTAGCCAAAATCACTCAATGAACGAAATTCAACAACAACAAAAACAACAACAATCATTTATAGACCGATTATACCTTTCGGTGTGTGGTCTTTTAACGAAATAACTAGACTTGAATTCCTCTAACAATTCCTCTCCAAAATTCCCTATCGAGAGCCAGGTCTTGAGTTTCTCTATTCCAATCATACCCTCTAACATCCAAATCACATTTCACTGAATCCAAATAACGTCTACGGGGTCTTCCTCTGTTTCTCAGTCCATCAGCTTCAGCAAACAAGATCTTCTTCGGCAAACGCGACTCACTCATACGTTGTACATGTTCAAACCATCTCAATCTTGACTTTCTTGCGACGTCATCAACCGACTGAACATTCGATTCATCTCGGATTTTCCCATTGATCTCCACGCGATACTCCAGAAATCATACGCAACACTTTCATATCAGCCACTTCCAGACCATGGATTAAATTTTGAGAATCGACCCAGCTCTCGCTTCCGTAAAGGACAGTTGGTCTGAAGATTGACTGGTGAATCATCAATTTCGTCTCCTTACTCAACTCACGTTTATTGAAAACGTGCGATCTTAGCTGTGCTACAACCTTATTACCATTCATTCTACGGTGTTCAAACTTTTTGTCAAACTTGCCATCTTCAGAGAAGATGCAACCCAAGTACTTGAATTGTGGCACTTGTTCGAGCAAGTTTCCATTCAGTTCACACTGGATAGTTTTACGAGTTTTGCCCACATGCATAACCTGGGTTTTTGAACTGCTGATGGTCATTCCAAAGTCTGTACAAGCCGCTTGTAAGTCTCTGACACTATTCTGTAGCTCCTGTTCAGAACTACCGAAAAGTACCAAATCATCTGCGTATGCCAAGGCCGAAATTAAGTTACCCCCCAAAGCTACGTTACCCCTTAGGTTTGCTGATTTGATCAGCTTATCCATATAAATAATAAACAGAAGCGGTGAAATTGTACAGCCCTGTCTAAGACCATTACGCACCTCAAACCATTCGCTCAAATCACCATCCACCCTAACTGATGCTTTACTGTTTGCGTACAAACTTTTAATTGCCCTAAGAAGAGACCCATTTATTCCATATTCGGCTAAAACCGACCACAACTTAGATCTTGGAATACAATCATAAGCCTTCTGCAAATCAACGAAACACAAAAACAGATCCTTATTTTTCTCATGGAATTTCTCTAGCAGCTGTCTCAAAACAAAAATTTCGTCTTGGCAACCCCGCATAGGGCGGAATCCCGATTGATTTTCATCCAGAAGCTGTTCAACAATTGCTCTGGTTCGTTTTTCCAAAATTGAACTATAAACTTTTCCGACAACACTCAATAGAGGAATTCCACGATAATTATTGCAGTCTTTATTACTGCCTTTCTTATGAAGAGGAGAAATTACTGACAAGCCCCAGTCCAAAGGTACGACAGAAGAGCCCCAAGCGACATTAAAAATACGATACAACCATCTAACCCCAACTACACCGCCACTCAATAGGAATTCAGTGCGAATTTCATCTACGCCTGCTGCTTTGCCCCATTTCAATCTCTGAATAGCTGCTTGAATTTCTGCCATACTAATTTCTTCTGGCACAAACCCATCGATAATATTTTCCTCTCCATATTGTCCATTTTGTCCAGTAACTCCATTGTCAACATTCAATAAGTCATCAAAATATTCCTTCCAGCGGTTGAGTACATTGTTTCTTCCAATTACTAAGTTGCCCGATTTGTCCAAAACTGCTGTCGGTGCCTGCTTTTTACCTCCGTTTCTGATGTTCTTCACCTTAGTCCAGAATACTTTGTTCCTCTGCTGACCTGCTTCTTCCAATTCCTCTCCAAATTTTATCCAATGTCCCTCTTTTGCTTCCTTGACCATTCGCTTTGCGGTATCCCGTTGTTCCTTGTATGATGTCCAGTTTTCCTCAGTCCTATTCGGCATCCAGTGCATCCATTTAGATCTCTTTTCCTTAACGGCAGCCTTAATGTCGTTGTTCCACCAATCAGTCTTCTTTTTACCATTCTTATTTCTAACGAACCCTAAACACTCTCTGGCAGCCCCCAGAACAGTGTTTTTGAAAATGCCCCACTCTGATTCAATGTCAGATACATTCTCATTCAAACCCGAAAATTTTTCCTCCAAAACTGCAACAAACTCACTGGCCACACTCTCTTCTTTCAAACGATCCACTCGCAATCTGTTGGATGGTTTCCGATACGGTTTACTAGCAACCAAATAGTGATCAGAATCCAATCCAAAACTTCGATACACTCTTGTACAGTGAGACCAGAGTTTTTGACAGACACTTAAAAAAAGTTTCAAATCATACATTTCTCATCAGATGGCAGCGCACGTCGAAATGAACGTTTTTGTTGATATTGAGCATCACAACAAATCGTTCAATTTCTTAATCTACTTTCTAAAGACAAATTTTTTCACAAAAAATATTTAAATTAAAAGTGATTACAATTTTTTTTGGCCATAATTTTCATCATTTTGTTGATATTTACATTTCAATGCGCTAACATCATTAAGTTGAGTTGCGTATGAAGCTCTCTTTGACATCTTGTATGTTGACTTTGACAGATCTTTGTTTACATTTTTATGCGGTAACTTTGATTGCATTAAATAAGAGCGAATTATTAGTGAAATTTTGTGGACAATTCAAGTAATCATCAAGACAACCAGACGATGGAATCGATTGGAGGTAAAAATTATTATTTCAAATATTATATTATTCAAAATAATAATGAAATCGTGTCGAATTTTTTTTCTTTTCAGATTCAGTCAAATATTTCAAAGACAATGATGGATTGGTCTATAAAAAATCCAACGAAAATCCGCAAACCATGTATTTGGATTGTTTCAATGAACCGACTTGCCTTGCTGGAGCTCGTTTTTACAAGCAAACCGGCCTTGTGGAAAAATTTGGCACACATTCACACGGAAAAATGGATGAAAACAGCATTTTTAAGATCGAGTTCGAGACACTTTTGAAAAATCAAGCTGTGATGAATTTGCCAACGTCAGCCTACTCAATTTGTATAAACGTGCTTTGGCTGGCTATTTCAAAGGAATTTGGCTACCGACCGATCACAAGGCGTCCTTTTTGGCCAAATTGCGTCGTATTCGCAAATACGAAAAAGAAAAGAAGGAAGCGGGCAAAGTGTGCACTCGGCCGTCTTGTACTCCTGCGTTGACTTTGGGTAGTTCAACGTCGCCAATGTCACCGAACAGCATTGCATCAGCTCAAGCTATCGCATCGATTCTACGTGAAATGCCAAATCAAGTCTCTCCGATTATGTCGCAGCCGCCAACACCAATTATAATACCGCCACCAACACCATTTGCAAGCGGTGGGCGTTTGCTTCGTAGTTCCGTCCGAAGCCAACATTCATTGGTATTGCCGCCAACACCATTTGCAAACGGTGAGCGTTTGCTTCAGCGTTCCACTCGAAGCCGAAATTCATTGGCACCGCAGGCCAATTTAAACTCCTCGACACCGAGCTCGGTAATGCTTAATTAAATTAATTAAATTTTTTATCAACATTTTGATGAGAGATTGTCTTCTTTACAGCCATTGTCAAAGAACATCAACATTCGGTTGGTTGCGAATGGGAGCCGTACGCCCATTTGCTATGTTTCATCCAATCGTTCCGTTACGAAGACCCAGATTCAGGAAAAAAGAAGTGCGGTACGTGGTATATTTATTAAATTATTTATATAACAATTCAATCAATTTCATATGAATTCAAATAACCGCTTTTTTTGATTCTTTTGTTGAATTTCATCTATGTTTATTTTTTAACTTTCTTCAGGCAACAGTCTTCAACTCAATCTACAAAGAAGAGCGTCGTCAATAGAACCGCCACAAGAAAGAAAACAGCTTCCAAGCAAGCCTTTGGCATGATGACTCGGTCCAAAACAGCAAAGGCCAGATCAATGAAGAATGTTTCGTTTGCCGTTGGACTTAAGCGATGCCGACGTACATTGTTTGCTTCAAATGGAGATTTAAGTAAAACCGACGCAGCATAAAAAATGGGCTCGTTGAAAATCGGCTTTATAAAAATCACAATATTCAATGACAGACAAATTTTATAAAATATGCACGAAATTTGAATAAAAATGTTTCACTTTCAAAGCATTTTATTAATTGATGAATAATTTTTAATTCCATATTTATTTGAAATTCATTCAGATAATTTTCCGGACCGATTCTAAATTGACATACATTTTTTAGCTAATTTAATAGTGTTCTGTTTTCAGAATTGACTTGAAAAAATATTTTTTTTCCAGAAAAACTCAATTGGCTCATAAATATTAATTATTATGGTCGATTTTGAAACGGTCTATATTTATAAAATCGATGTACAAAAATGTGCTATTTCACAATTGGCCAACAATAATTCTTTATGGACAATTTTAAAATGGCCCATATTTGTGTATCGATTTTAGAAATATTAGACCGTTTCACAATTGGCTTACAAAAATTCTTTTCGTTGGCCAATTGTGAAATAGCACATTTTTGTACATCGATTTTATAAATATAGACCGTTTCACAATTGTCCCACAAAAATAATTTATTATGTACGATTCTGAAACGGCCAATATTTCTAAAATCGATATACAAAAATGTGCTATTTCACAATTGGCCAACGAAAATAATTTTTGTAAGCCAATTGTGAAATAGCACATTTTTGTATATCGATTTTATAAATATGAGCCGAATGGCACATTTTTCTAGTCCGATTCAGAATTGACTAATAAAAATAATTTTTGTGAGAAACATTGGACAAACATTTTTCATCCAATTCAATATTGCTCTGTTTTTATATTAGATCGCAAAATGGTCTATTTTAAAATTGCCCATAAAAATAATTTTTTGTGAATCAATTGCGGAATATCACATTTTTTTAATCCAATATGAAAACAGAAAAATACTAAATTAGTTTAAAAAATAGCATAGTAGTGAAATACGTAGTTTTGCGGTTCCACGCGCCACCTATAATATGTCAAATGAACGTACCAAACTATTTCAGTACGCATCTATGTTTATGACAAACAACGACAATAGTTTATGGATTCTTATTAATTTTTGTTGCTAAAATAATTTTAAAAAACTTTACATGCATAATAATAATAATATAATTTTCTTTAGTTTAATAAAAGTTACCGAATGTTGATTTTTGCAATTCTTCTCTTGAATGTGATTGAAATGTATAGTCCGACTCCAGCAGCTGAATCAAGATTTTTTTTGTTTCAGTGTAGTTATTTCAAGAATTTATTCATTTAACACGGATAAAAGTAGCGATTAAAAAAATGAAACTTAAAACCAATTTATAAAATAAAAAATGTCTATTCTGAATTTATGTGCACATCGAGCTGCTGAAGTCGCTAGCATAAGAACAAAAATGTCAATTCAAATGGACAGTTTGTAGCGAATGGAAAAATGTTATTTTTTTAGAACATGACCAATTTTGAATCAAATCGTGAATTAATTATTTTTATCCATCCGAAAAAAATAATTAAAAAGAAGATTTTTTGAGTTTTTCAGAAATAAAAATCATTATTGAATGTTGCTTTTTGAAAAAACAGCTGCTGGACTCCAGCAGCTGGATGACACTACTGGTACGCGTAGTAGCTGTCAAACATGACGTTTCACTGCTATGAAAAATAGCGCCCATATACAATTGCCCCAAAAAAAATATTTTTATCAGCCAAGTTTCAAATTCTGTTCTTACCGATTCACTCACTATTTTTAATTGAACAATATTTTATATTGATTGTACACCTAGCAATTAAAATTGACATATATAGGCCGTTTCAAAATAGTCATCAAACAATCGTTTTGATCTGCATAAAAAATATTTTCCATCGATATCAAAACCTCTTGATTTTTAAATATCGATGCACGGTCCTCTGAAAATGATGCAATTTTAAATATGGCAGAAATAACAAAAATCATTGATTGACTAAATTGAATTTTAATAAGAAACAAATAATTTATTGATAAAACCGTTTAAAACGAATGAATAAAAAAATGTAAAAAAATATGTGTTTAAAACATATATTTCAGCAAATGCTCAAATAAATTGCCGTTAACTTCGATGCAGGCGTAAAGACGTTTGATTAAATTGTTTTGAGTATTACTCAAAAACTCGGCTGGAATATCATTAATTTCGTTGATAATTGTATTTGCGACATCTTCAATCGATTCATTTTCAATCAGGTAGACGCGGTGCTGTAATGTGCCCCACAAAAAAAAGTCCAGCATATTAAGATCGGGCGATCGGGGTGGCCAAGGTAGAAGACGATTTTCTCCTTCACCGCGGCCAATCCAAAATTGAAGGTTGTCGTCTAAACACTGACGCACAAGTCCAGCAAAGTGTGGTGGAGCACCATCATGCATATAGCATATGTCGGCTGAATTGAACCCATTTGCATGCAATGTTGGCAATAAATAATCGGTCAGCATCTCGAGATATGAGTCACCGTTCACATTACCATCGAAAAAGTATGGTCCAATGATCGTCTTGTCAATGATACCAGTCCAAACAATCACTTTTTCTGGAGCAACTTCGTTCACTATCCCTATCCATCGTGGATTTTCTTCCGCCCAATACCTGTGAAATAAAGTATTGATTTTGAATGAAAATTAAAATGACATTGCTTTGAAACACACGCATATCAAAAATACCACCAAAATATTGTCGTATACATACCGAAAATTTTGTCGGTTGAAAGATCCATTTACTGGAAAATTCTTTTCATCACTCCAAAGAATGCGTTTGTGGAATCCTGGCTCAAGATGGCACATTAGAAGCAAGTCCTCACAGAACTTCTTCCGCAAAGCTGGATCGCCAGGTTCCAGTTTTTGGTGTTTGCCCTTTTTGTAAGCCCAAAATTTCATCCGTTTCAATGCTGACCACACCGTACATTGCGATTTGCCAACGAGAGCTGCGGCTCTACGTGTTGTCATGTGTGGGTTGGCGCGAAACAATTGCCGAATTTGCTGCTCAAATTGCCGTTTTTCAGTGATTGATTGAGCAGAAGGTGACCATTTTTTTCGTTGAAGAGTTCCCAATGTTCTTAATTTTTTGAAGAGCTGATACACGGTTCGAAAATTTAATGGTGGCAAGCGATTGGGATTCAGATAATTGAAAATTTCCGCAGTCTGACGATATGAATATTGTCTGGCCAATGACACGATTTGAATTTTTTGTTCGAGAGTTAACAGCATCGTGAATCGCTCAACATCCAAATTCCATATGAACAAGAACTCCTTGATGATTTGAGAATAAAATTGTGCCATTTTGCGTTTTCGATTTGAATGGTTACTTGATTTTCCTGCAAAAAAGGAGAGAATACATCACAAAGCATCAATTTTTATTTAATAGAAAAGAACAAAAGAAAAGACCAAATAAATTAAAGCCAACTTATCTGATGCGAATTTTTGATGATTTAACTAATATCCGTGGTAAATTTGATAACACTCCACTTTATATCAAACAATAGTGATATTATATCAAAGAGCTGATACACGGCGTACAAAACTTGTTTGTTTACAAACAAACCTTGCGCAAGCATCTAAATATGACAAGTGTCAAACACACGTTCATTTGAAAGCATTCAACGTTCATAAGTTAATTGATCGGTTGAAAGTGAACGATTTACAATGAGTAACAAAAACCACTCAAAATAATTTAAAAAAAGTGAAAAAAAATCGTAAAATATTTTTAAAAAAATTATATTAATATTACAATATTAGTTTATTTTTATTTTAGCGAAATTATTTCATAAAAATGTTTTTTCATGCAAATGAATGTTTATTGTCGTGAAGTGTTTCGAACACTCACTCAGTGCCATCTTTTATCAACTTTTTTTGAGCTTTGTTCTGTCTATCAAAAACTCTGGTCTCACTGCATTCATAACTGAATTACGCAAGCACTCCTCGACAATTACATAATCCAAAAGAGATTTCTGATTCTGGCCAGGATTTTCCCACGAATATGTATGAATTTTCTTGTGCTTGAAAAATGTATTGGAAATGATTAATCCCGAACTCTGGCAAAAATCCAATAATCGCTTTCCATTGTTATTAGCAGGCGCCTCTTCACCAAATATTGACAAAATTTGGATCATTTCGACCTACTCTAGCATTAAGATCTCCCAAAAGAATGATCTTTTCGCTTCCTCTGCGATAGATTACGTCATTCAGATCATTGTAAAAATCGTCTAATCGTTCCGAAACTGCACCCTCACATGGTGAATATACACTAATGAATCTAAAAATAACTCCCGAAATTTTGATCGAAATCCACATTAATCTTTCGTTGACGAATCTATGACAGATAATTGACGACTCCAAGTTCTTATGAATCAAAAATCCTAAGCTCCAATTAGCTCTACCTCTAGCAACACCTGATAAAAATACTCGATAATTCCCTAACGACTCTTCAATCTGACCTTTCACTCGTACATAACTCAAAGCCACCACATCCAGACCAAAATCATTCGCTCTCTCTACCAATTCAAACTTTTTCGACTCAAAACCTCCTCTCAAATTCAAAGTTCCGATGTTCAAAGCGGTCGTCAACAGTGGAGCTCTGGTCAGGTCCCGGGGAGTACGAGCTCCGTGGCCTCCCCTCGTCCGAGGCCCATTATTTCGATTTCGAGCAAGTAAAAGGGGTTTAAGGTGAGGGGCGTGCTAAGCCACACTGCACCCGAGAACAATCACTCGGAAACGTCGAAACAAAATAGCCATGGAAATGGTTAATTCTAAATCACTATCAAAATTCACTTCGAAAAGATCGATTTTACGTTACGTTATATTAAAATTGCAAAAATATAAACAAAAGATCGAAAGTGAATTAGCTACAAGAAAATGGAACGAACTCACCAAATAATAAGAAGAAATGAGTGAAAAAACATCGATATATTGCCGCTTTAACATAAACATTTTACCGTTATGCGTGATGTCGAACAGATAATCAAATGAAAAATCTCAAAATGTAATCAAATAACGCAAAATATTGAGATTATTTAACCAAAATAATTTTACGCGAAAACAAAACAAAAATAAATAATGAAAATGCGAATCAATAATTATCTAAAAAGAAACAAACGAATTTCACTGTGTATTGAATACGCGTCAAGTGGAATAGTAAACATTGATTTTGACAGTAAACGGACAAATGAACACTTTTAAATATGAACCAAAATTACATTGAATAAAACACAAATCTTGATTAAATTTTGAATTAAAATGCCGAAACTAAATCACATGACACCAAATTCCCGAAAATAATTAATTTTAAATGAAAATATAAAAGCAAAAAACAGCCGGTGTTTATATTCCACTTGACACACAACACTGTACAATACTGAAACAACGTCCGAAACACAAAAATCAAAATTTTTCTTGAAAAAATAATTTATTTACGCGAACTCCATTAAATCGGTAAATAAAAACATCTAAATTAATGAAAATTCAAAAAATAAAAATTTAAATCGCGATAAAAAATAATTAAATATGAAAAAATAAAATTTGATTTAGAGCAACACAAAAACCACGACCGTCAAGTCCGCGCCACCTAGCGAAATTCAAAACGGATTAAAATTCTTGAAATTTCTCAGTGCTAATATTTTGTGCATAAAAAATTCATATCGCACCGAATTTGTGCATGCAGGGGTAACACAGTGGTCCACTTCACTAATATTCTCTAAATCACTCAATGAGCGAAAATCGATTTGGATTAAATTTCTTGAAATTTCTCAGTGCTAATATTTTGTTCATAATTTGTGCATAACAAATTCATATCGCACCGAATTTGTGCATGCAGGGGTAACTCAGTAGTCCACTTCACTAATATTCTCCAAAATCACTCAATGAGCGAAAATCGATTTGGATTAAATTTCTTGAAATTTCTCAGTGGTAATATTTTGTGCATAATTTGTGCATAAAAAATTCATATCGCACCGAATTTGTGCATGCAGGGGTAGCTCAGTGGTCCACTTCGCTAATATTCTGCAAAATCACACAATGAGCGAAAATCGATTCGGATTAAATTTCTTGAAATTTCTCAGTGCTAATATTTTGTGCATAATTTGTGCATAACAAATTCATATCGCACCGAATTTGTGCATGCAGGGGTTGCTCAGTAGTCCACTTCACTAATATTCTCCAAAATCACACAATGAGCGAAAATCGATTCGGATTAGAAAAGCCATAAGAAAACCATAGATTTATTGCCGAAAACGATAAAAAATAAAATGTCTTACATCCGTAAGATGAACTTTTCCGTACTGTGATCCACAACATGCATTTATTACAAATCTTTTACTCAAAGAATTCACGAGAAAACTGAATCTGACGATACGAATAATTTTCGAAGCACTTTTAATAAAAAAACTACTAAAAATGGGAATTTTTGTATCGCAGCCATGCCTATATGATATCGCAATCATGTTTAAATTTGCGGAGGCTATTTTTTTCACAAAAAGTTAACATTCTGAAAGTTTGACGAAATTTCAATGCATATTAAGGGTACTTCCCATACAAAATTTCGTTTTTGAGCAAAAAATCCAAAATTTTGTTCGGGAGGTGCCCCTAATATGCGTTGAAATGTCTTCAAACTCTCGGAATGGCATTTTTGTGTGATTGAAATAACCTGTGCAAAGTTCCAGCTCATTACGATATCATACAGGCATGGCTTCCAAACAAAAATCCAAATTTTTTGACATTTTTGTATGAAAAGTGTGCCGAAAGTTATTTGTATCGCAAAACCAACATTATATTCGGTTTTCTCGTACCCAAAAACCCCTCAACACACATTTTTGAGTGTTTAAGTATACATTAAATATCACTTTTGGAAGAAAAATTGAATTTTTCCCATGGATGGCCATGGGCATCACACCAAACATGACACTTCACTCTGTCAACCAAAGTCGCTCAAAATCTAATGGTTTCTATTCCTTGGCACCCCCAATCATCCTTTGAAGTCAGATTTTGAATTACTTTTCTTATTTGAAAGTTATCGTGTTAACAAATTTTTGCGTACAGTGTAGCGTAAGCATGCGCACTCGTACTAGCGGTAACGCATGTAAAGTACAAGTGCGCATATCAAGAAGAGTTAATTAAAGAGACAGTTCTGATTATAACACACGATAGGAATGGTCGTTTTTATATTACATGGCGAGGTCACCGGCATAAGAATCAGGAAAAAATCTTTTGAACAGTGTGTGGGCTTGGCATGCTGCCAAGCCCGAATCAACAAAATATAATATAATATTCAACAGAGTTAATACAATTTAATTTAGTTAATATAATTTATGACTCGTACAGAGGAGTCAAATGAATATAATGCACATATAAACTATGCATAACGCCAGATATTGGACAACGGAATTTCAACCGAGCGTATTGGATTCAACGCAAGATATCGGACATCGCAATTTCAACTGAGCGTATTGGATTTAATGTGTCTTACATTAAAACAGGAGCATAGATGAAAACTTCACAATGGTTAATATGATCAAATATTGAATGAAATTCGATGCTGATTGATGAGATGAATATATTAGAACAATGATGCAGAATACAAACAAATTATGGAATTCACAACTTTAATTAAACGCACGATCTAAAATTCATGACGGGATGTTAGAGGATCACGAAAGAAAATCAATGGTTTGAAACTTCAATAGATTATCGAAATACGTCAACTAAAATCAATTTTAATTTTTTTTGTATCGCAATGTGAGCTATTGACAAACGTTCACAATGAACATGTTCATAATACATGGGTTTGTGAAAAATTGAAAACATTAGACTGGCTCGAAAAAAAAATAATAATATATAATTCAATTTTTCTATCATTATCAATTTTCAAATTTAAATTCAAATCAGTAAATGAGCATTGGTTTCTAATGTATACATTTTATAATAATAATAATAACTGCACCGAACAGCGTTCCTTCGCCTTGGTGGTTTATTGAAAATAACTTAATCAAATATATACAATATAATACAATTTGATTTTTATCAAGCATTTTTGAGAGAGAAAATGTAAAATTATTGCTCTTCTCATGTAAATAATATAAATTTCATAAATTAATTTTTCAACTGCTTAAAATTTCTATAATCCATAACAAATTTTTGTATTTATCTGCTTTGCTTTAAATAATTCTCTATTCTCAGTTTTACTGTTGATAAATTTACTTCTAAATCAATTAAATTTTTATCACTGTTTTGCAATTTTTTGGTATAAAATTCGTTGAATGTTGTAAGCATATAATTTATTGGCTCATATTTTGTGTAATCAGTTCTCCTAATTGGTAGATCAAATAGTGGTGTTGCTCTGGTATCATGTGCTGGATCGTAATATTTCATACTGTTTGAAACATAAGTTGACTTCAAATCTCCGTGAATATTTTTGAAAATAAAAGACACTTGCGCCATCTTGCGTCTCTCCTCAAGAGTAATCATTTGCAGAAATTGTAGCCTGTGTTCGTATTTTGGCAGTCTAAAATCGTTCCAGGCCATTCTCCTCAGAGCATATATTAAAAATTGTTTTTGTATTGACTCTATTCTTTTGCACATATTGTCGTAGTGTGGATTCCATATTTCAGATCCATACTCAATAATCGGTAATATAAATGCAAAGTAAAGGCGTTTTAAAGTCCATGGGTCGACAAAATCCCTGCTGTTGAATTTTAACCAAGCCAATCTTGATTTTGCCTTTGCAACAACATGCTCGATGTGTGATTTGAAATTCATCTTCACATCAAGCAATACTCCCAAGTCCTTTATTACCTCTACTCTTTCAATTT